TATTTTAAAAAGTATTCAATACGTAAAAAAGTATTTGAATACTTTTATTCAAATACTTTTACTCAAATACTTTACAACACTGATGAGTATACCAACTAGTATCAGTAAACGCCTTCGAGTCAATATTGTGAAAAATATCAACTTTGATTCAGTGTTAACTTAAAAAACTTCTTTTAACTTTTTAGTTAAATATCACACATTGCAGTTGTACAACGCTCAATTTTTGTGAATATATTTTTAACTAATATGCTCTATTGTAGAGGTACTTACTAAAGTACTAAACAAATAAACTTTATAAGTTTAAACATTTTACAAATAATATTTAGGGAGCTATACGCATGAAAAAACGTACTTTATATCAAATGTTTAACTCTTTTTGATCAAAAAATCACAAATAATAATTGTATGAAAAGAAAAAATTGACAAAAAAAATCGAAATTCAATAACGGTCACCCATCCATTTACGTGGCATAAAACCGCCGGCTGAGCCGAAGGAAACTTGAGAGAATCCCACGACCGCCGGAGGTTGTCCTATGGTGCCAAYAGTAGAGAAAAATATGTTATTTAGATTAAAACATTTGTCGTTGATAATAACATAATTTGTTTCTTTTTGTTGTTTTAACAAATTTAATTTAATTTTTAATTAATAATAAATAGCTATAAAAATCACTTAAGATGAAGAATCTCATATTAAATTTTTTCAGATTTGTTTTTAAAAGCACTGAGAATTTTCTATTTTGAATAAAAGTAGCAACTATAGACCCCAACAGGAAACCACCTGCAAACTTTTTTATTTTTAAATCGTAAAAAGGTAATACAAACCATTGAAAAATCAATACATTATAATAGTACGACWCAAAGAACATAATATYATAGTAAACAGTCAGCAAACCAATAATTGCAGCTTTGGTTATCTCCAAAAAATCACGTATACTATAGGTATACTATGTAGGTCTTTTTATATTATGGTGGCCCTTTTTGTAGGCTTAAGTACGTKTTTTGTTCAACGAAATAATATTATGATAAATGATAAATGACAATTCCAACGCTTATCAAGAATAATTATTATTTAGATAAATACSCATTTTCATAGTTGCCAGGTACCTACCTAATTTAAAAGTTGCCACATGCCCGACATGGTATCAGATATCAGTGCAGGTATTTACCTGTCAAGTTATCAAACATTATTTGGCACCTATTGATTTTTAAACGTAATTACGACACATTACAGACTAACTACAGCTTCGCGTGACCTATAAAAGATTAGGTATAGTTGTGACATAATATTAAATATACGCATGCACGGCTGAATAATATTATTATTTATTCAAATGATAGACACCCGTGCTTACTAATTCTTTTAGATGCGTTTCAATGTCTAATCTAAATTTCGATGAAGACAGCCTCGCATGTTTGTGAAAAATCGGCATTACAATGTTCCGTATTGATTATCGGTTAACTATATAATGTTAGATTATTAAATATGGGGCTGCCCATGTTAATTGAAAGTGAGTGATGAATAGGTATATTATTCTTCAGATCTGCTTTAAACTTTACAAATATTGTTTTTATGCTATTAGGTAACTTACAGCTTAACGTTGACTTTACTTTAGGTACCTACCAAAGATGTAACTCAAGTTACCTAATTTTTTTTATTAAACTTTGTAAATTCGTACCTAGGTAACTACTAACTGCTCAGTACTCAGTACTATTGAGTATTGGTACTATATATACTGTACACTCGTGTGTGTTCTCAAACTTTTTTCCATCACGGCACATTATTGTCGGCTGTTATCACGGCAAACTTTGAATAAATATTATCTAAATATAAATAGAATAGTTTTATGTTTTTTTTAAATCAAAATTTCAAGTTGTGGTGGCACACCCTTTGGGAAACACTGGTGTATAATGCAATACCTAAGATTTATGACGACATGTCAGTTTTAAATTAATGGTTAACAGAGGACAAAGAAAGGTACCAGCTAGTATGCTTGTATAGTTACCGTATAATAATAATCGTAATGTAATATTCAATCTATTGTTAAATACGCATGTATAGCCGTATAGGTGCCTACATTGTACTACAAAGGTACCTGTTGAAATCGAGAAGAAAATAATCGCATTTTGGTACGCTCAGTSATAAATTTATATTCATATTGAAAAGAAAAATAGACGTAATGAATGATAATTTACGACCAGTGCGCATTTTGTCTGTTTAAAAAAGCGCGCAATTGTGCTTTTAGGAGCTCGTGCGACGCCATTGGTCACATGACTATCTTCCACGCCTATCACGGTTCGTTCATACTATCGTTGACAATGAATAATTTATTGTTGTTAGTGCTCCCTCCCCCGTTTACACATACTTTTATCAAAATACTATCAACGCAATAGGTAGTATCTTGGAATATTTTGCTTTTATAATGATAATAATAATAATAATATAAACGTTTTGAATAGTTTTGATGTTTTGGTAGGTGACGAATAMTAATAATATCTACGAATAAGTAATAATTGATTGGCGTTCACTTGTTTGGTTTATATTTTATTTTTTATTTTTCGTCACACAGACGCACATACACGCTCACACCGTCGCCATTTGTCTCGTCGCTCTCGTGTACCGCTATTACGGAGATCATTCGACGACGTTTGACGCTTAGAAGCTAAGTGATTGCTCACCTTTGTCTACTACATTTATAACCAACGGATAAACTTCTGCACCATGAACGATTATTCCGCCAAGGACTTAAGCGAGCCAGAAGACGGAGACATTAGAGACGATATCCCCGAAAACATCGACAAACGTGCGTTTGAAGATATGAACAATCAAGTGAGTGCTGCGTACTTTAACAACACCATTGTTTCATTGTACATCTTTATTTATATKTATACCTACTAGTGCTGCTGACCTGAAACTTGTGCTCACATCATTGTATTACCTGGTTAAAGCGTTTTAGGTATCTGTCCGTTTGATTACACAAATAAATGATAACTATTCTAACGATGGGGAATATTGCTATGGACTAGCGTCCTGCATTGCTTAGTTCACRGTCAACTAGATAATAATTATGTAGACACCACCTGAGAGGGTAACAATGTCAAGGGAGTGGCCATGGATTATTAAAATAATAAGAGACTACTAAAGGTAAAAGTTAGGCGTGGACACCAAATAACATTATGTAAACAATGGGGGATTAACTGAACATTTATGAAAACAGATAGATAGGCGTTGCATGTCCTCAGGACGTTAGACACGACTATGKGATAAGAATTCCAAGAAACGATACCCAAACTAGGAATATAGTGTCATAATAATAGATACAGTATTATCAAGCATGCAGCTGCACGGGATGTGTACTGATCTCATATGTGGGCGGGTCGCATTTCCGTCAGTTTAGATGATTATACCACATCCGTGAGAACAGTGACAAGAGCAAGTAGGCTATGGKGAGTAGAGGGTAGTACTATATAAGAGACCCCGAAACGGCCTGTATTCAGACGCGACTTGACCAGACTAGCCAGAACACCTTCACGCCAGTCTGTTCTTTAAATTAATTAAATTGAACTTAGAAAATATTCTAGCCAAACCGAATTTATTCTAGTTATTCAGAATACTTAAATATTTAAATAAATTCAGCTTTCATGTTTTAAATAAATGTATATGTTTTGTACTTTTGTCAAAATAAATAATCCAATAATTTAACTAGGAAAAATTCCACGTTGTTTAAATTAACTCAAGAGTCACCTTCCAAACAACATCCTTGACTACTGATATCTGTAGGCGACGTGATCACTACAATATTATCAGGCTATTCCATATTCCTCTGCKTGTGCTTGACTATCATGTAAGCATGTCACTGCAAACTTGTGCTAAGTTAAAAATTTGTATCTATCAAACATTCACTTGTAGTTTATGTTCTTATTTGCTAACTGTACAATGATAGACTTTAAAATAAAGAGAATTAACCATTTGAATAATGCAGATAACAATATTCTACAACTGATATTAATGTTTTTTATAAGTATTTTCGAATATTTTTTTGTATTATCATGAAATTAATAGTAAATAATTTGGTTGTGTCATTCACAAATAAAAGCATACGCTGTGTCTATATCCCCGACAGTCAGTTCTTTATTAAAGACCCAACAACCAAGATGAAAAGTGCGCATGATAACAATATAATAATGATAATGCGAAATGCGAATTACTAATTAGCAGTTTTTATAGTTTTATTGCAGCATTATTAATATAATTAAATATCAATATATCATTAACATATTATTATCATCAAACAGGTACCTAATCATATTACATTTTTGTTAATATATTTTGTAAATAATGTGTATTATTGTAAATATTGCAACGGWCAATTGGAAAATTAATTTTTGCGCATATTACTGAATGTTGTCGGGAAAATTAAATAAGTATTTTTATGTCCAGGGCGCGTTTTCAATGAAAAATTTTGGGGTGCTAAAGCCCTTCTATTTTCTTTTCATGTTATTTTATGATGAAAAAAATCAGCTTAAAATTTAAATTAACATGAACTAATTACACTTATAAATACTTATGCTAATGGTAATGAAAAGGGATATGTGAAAG